CCCCAGTAGAGGGCACGCAGGAAGCAACTGAGTAATTCTCGCTCATCATTGATGTTTCTTTTCTATCTCTCCCTCTCCCTTCCTCTCTGAAATCAATAAAAACATATTTAAGCCAAAACCGGTTTGGCTCAGTGGATAGAGAGACGGCCTGCGAACTGAAAGGTCCCAGGTTCGATTCCGGTCAAGGGCATAGACCTTGGTTGTGGGCATGGACCTTGGTTGCGGGCATGTCCCCAGTAGGGGGCGTGCAGGAGGCAGCTGATCGATGACTCATCGATGTTTCTAACTCTTTATCTCTCTCCCTTTCTCTCTGTAAAAAATCAATAAAATATATTTTTTTAAATGCACCAGGGAAAGTTTTAAAAAATTAAAGTTTAATCATATATATATATATATATATATATATATATATATATATATTTATAAAAATAAATAAATGGAACTGAAACAGTGTCATGGAGCATTAAGGGCAATTTCATTAGGAGAAATCTTGGTAGGAACATCTATCATGTAATACTTAAAAGTCACCTTTTTAAGAGAGATTAGTTTTTTTCCTATTTGATTCTAAGAGACAACGTAGGAACACAGTTATGAATATGTATTTCAGCAACAAAACTTCCTTATTGAACTATCCCAAGATAAAAGGGGATGCCGTAAACTTTCCATTATTAACGTTCAAGCCTAAATTGGCCATTGGGCAAGGCTATTTTAGATGGAAGTCACAAGAGGAACTGACCCAGGATCATAGCATTTTAGATCTGAAAGGAACCTTAGCGATCTAGTCCAGTCTCCTATTTCATAGGCTTGGACAGGTGAAGTGACTCATTCAAGGCAACAGTTTGTTCTGGAAAGCAGGAGAACGTCTTCTCTATTGATCTATACCCTTGCTATTCAAAGTGTGATCCATGCACCAGCAGCATCAGCATCCCTTGGGAACTTGTTAAAAATAAAACAACCAACCAAACAACCAGAATCTACATTTAAGCAAGATCCCCCACCACCACCACCACCAGGGTTATTCATCATTAAAATTTGAAAACACTGACCTAAACTGCTGTTACCCTTCCAAACCTTGGGTTTCTAATGCTGAAAACTGCATTTCCCAAACTGTTTCAGAAGTTAAACAAGGAAAAAACAGTATTTGGGAAATCCTCCATATTATGCTTCCAGTAGGAGAGTCTGGGTAATACCATTAGCATATTAATGGCTCTGAAATATTCTGTCGCAGGGAAAAACTTGAACCATGAAGTTCCTGAACATACTTGAGTACAAAGTGCCTTTTAAAATGTATGAACATCCCCAGGGCTCAGGCTCTGGCAGGACACCGGATAAAGAGTGTCAACTCTATCTCAGAGCTCCCGGTTCCCAGGACTTGACGCGCACTGGAGGCGCAGGTGGTCAACATGGGCTTGCTGCTCTCTTCGCTGCAATGAAGGAGAGGGAGCTTTCAAACCACTTTCTCTTGGTGTGTGTGTGCTGTAGCTGGGGTTCTGCCCAAAGACAGGAGGGATGACTCCTCCAGGGTCATCCTGCAGCGAAGGCGGACCGCAGCGGTGGGAGGCACAGGCACCCCAAACCCACACCCAGGTCCTGTGCTCCAGTCCTCTATGTTTTCTCATATTTTTTTATTTTTTAAAAATATATTTTATTGATTTTCCACAGAGAGGAAGGGAGAGGAATAGAGAGCTAGAAAAGTCTATGAGAGAGAAACATCTTACCAGCTGCCTCCTGCACACCTCCTACCGGGGATGTGTCCGCAACCAAGGTACATGCCCCTGACAGGTATCAAACCTGGGACCTTTCAGTCCGCAGGCCGATGCTCTATCCACTGAGCCAAACCGGTTTCGGCCTAACATTTTTTTGTTTGTTTGTTTGATGCAAACTTCTCACCCATGTGCCCACAGGAAACCTGTGGCTCGGAATGGGTTCGGGGTGCCTCGGACACGCCCCAGGAAGGAGCGGGGCAGCCTTACGATTCCGGGGGGATTCGGAGGCACCATCACCCTGGCCCCCAAAGAACCCCGCCCGCGGGGTGGGACCAGCCCGCCCAGCCCCGGGGGGACGACCTCCCCCGCCGCGGCCCAGCCCCGCGGCCCCCGCCCCGCACCCCGGCTCCATGCTGCTCCCAGGCCAGCGCCGACCCCCCGGCCCGCCGCCCGCAGCCTCGCGAACACGCGGGGGCGGCGGCGGGGACGGTGGGCAGGGGCGCCGCCCGCGTACCTGTCGGGCCAGGGGCTCCGCGCCGGCTCCGGCCCCACCGGCCAGCGACGCCCAAGACCGAGCCGGTCCCGCCCCGCCCCGCCCGTGTGGGCTGCCCGACGCGCCGTCCGACCCCGCTAGGCCCACCCCGGACCCTCTCCCCCCGAGGCCCAGAGGCGCTCTGGGTCCAGGGGACACCCTGCTTTCCCCAAAAAACAAGTCCGGGCTGAAAGCTGCGCGCCGAGCGCGGCCGAGGACACACGGGTCAGGCACAAAGCTGGACACCCGGAGGGCGGCGGCGCGTGCGCACTGTGCCTGGGAGGCCTCTGAGGACCGCAGGAGGCCGGCGGCGTGGCCAGCGCCCTCTGCCGGAGGTGGGAGGCAGCGCAGGGAGGGAGGCAGCGCAGGGTGGGAGGCAGCGCGGAGGGACTGGAGGGACTTGCCCGGGTCAAATGGTCCCCGAGAATGGCTAAGATTTTGAGTGCTAGACTAATTAAAATAATAGTAATAAACCACAGCTCGTCATTTAGCATGAGGAAAAACTTGATTTTTGCTGCTACTCAATGTCATCACCCTATGGGAATACAGGCATTCTCACGCCCTTATGATGCGGATATAAAATAACGCAAATTTACTTAATGGCATTTTGGCATTTTTTTATTTGAAAAGAGAAAGCATTTTTTTAAAAGTACAAGTCCTGCCCAGGCCGGCATGGCTCAGTGGTTGAGCATCGACCTATGAGCTGGGGGGGAGGGGGGGAAGCATGCAAGTGCAGGAGGCAGCGGGTGATGTTTCTATGTCTCTCTCTCCCTTCCTCTCTCTAAAAGTAATAAAAGTGTGTAAGTGTGCCGAGACCGGTTTGGCTCAATGGATAGAGCGTCGGCTTGGGGACTGAAGGGTCCCGGGTTCAATTCCGGTCAAGGGCATGTACATTGGTTGCAGGCACATCCCCGGTGGGGGGTGTGCAGGAGGCAGCTGGTCGATGTTTCTCTCTCATTGATGTTTCTAGCTCTCTGTCCCTCTCTTCCTCTCTGTAAAAAATCAATTATATATATATATATATACATATATATATATATATATATAATATATATATATATTTTTTTTTTTTTTTTAAGAAGTCTGGGCACAGGTTAGCTGGCTCCTCTGGGACTTTAGAGACTCACCAAGCTGAAATCAAGCTGTCTGTCATCAAAGGCTGTAATCTCATCTGGGTTTTAGGTTCACTTCAAAACTCACTGATTATTGGCAGAATTTAGTTCCTGGGAACCGTAGTACTGAGGTCGTAACTCCTTGGGACTATGTGGCCACCTCCAAAATGTGACAGTTTGCTTCTTTCATTGTAAACCAGAGGATCTCTGACTTCTGAGAAGGTCCGACACTTAAAAGGCTCACCTGATTAGGTCAGGCCCACCCAAAATAATCTCCCCTTTAACACAAAGCCAACTGATTGCGAACTTTAATTACTTCAGCAAAATCCCACTTTTCAGGTATATGACATAATCACAGGCATGAAATGTCATCATATTCACTAGTTCTGATCACATTCAAGGGGAGAAGATTACACAAAATGTATACACAGAGGGTATGAATCTTGGGGGCATCTTAGAATTCTGTCTACCACAAATCCTCATTAAAGGAACTTTTAAAGAATGTACTTTGAATAGAAGGAAAATAACGCCAGATGGAAGATCTGAGACACAAGAAAGAAGAATGAACAAAGAAACTATTAAACACACAGGTAAAGCTACACAAATTTCAACTCTATAAATAATAGCAATATATCTGATTTGTGATATTAACAAAACAGCAATATAATTAAAGCACAAAAGCATACAAACTCAAAGGAAATAATGTTGAAGGACTCTAGGCTGTGGGTCGTAGAGGATCAGTCCGTCTTGTTTAGGTTTGTCAGTTTGACTGAGGTATTCCAGAGGCTTTGGGCCATCTGAGGATCCTGAGCAGCTTCAGGGGGAGAAGTGATCACACAGGAACTGCTAAAATATTTTCCAGAAACACCGTCCAGCTCCTTTGCCAAGCTCAGGTAGAGAACTGGGTTTGCACCTTCTATAGGATCCTGTGGAAACACCGAGAGGGGGGGCTGAGGGGAAGGATCGGCTGTCTCACCAGGCAGGCCTCGGCAGGCTGGGGTCGCTGAAAAGTAGAGCTCTCCACCGCCCTCTTCAAGCCAAACCAGCTCCTCCGCTACCCACCTTAATGAAGAAGCGGGAGAGCCAGAAAGAGAAGCGGTAATACCACGGTAACTGCCTCATGATGTCCGTGTACACATAGCCTGGCTCCACAGAGTTCACGGTCACACCTGAGAAGGTGAGGCAGAAGCATAATGCAAAGCAAAGTGAAAGGATGATGGAAGAAAGGATGGAGTGTGTTTCTGCAACGTGCAAGGAGGGAAGGATCCCACCAGGTCTGTTGGGTAAAGGTGACCAGAGACTTGGGGGTGGTGCGAGGGACATTGGTGCTCTGCAACTTACATGAATGGTGCTACCCAAGCCAGTAAGGAGATACAAGTATTTGGAAATGTCGAGTTAACTTTAGGAGGAACATGATGTATGGTGTTGGTATTGGAAAATACTGAGAGGAGAGGGGTGTTGCGATGATAAGAGAATTGAAAAAGGTTGAAAAGGACATGAGGACAGGGTTGAGAGAACTATAGGGGTACAGGTGGTAAGTGGAAGAACTTAACAGCTGGATTGGGGGATATTGGGAGTATTTTATGGCCAAGATGTGTTGAATATTTTATCGCCCAAGACAAAGGATTGGGAGTGGAGGAATAGAGGGTGTCAGAGGCAGTTACCTGTCCCTTGAAGTCTCCGGGCAAATTCCCCAGTGATTGAGGTCAAAAGCAGTTTGCTGCAGTAATAGTTTTGGTTGAAGGTCAAAGGTCCACCAGCCCCTGTCAGATGTTCCTCATCAAAGTACCCATGTGTTTGCCAAGCAGAAGAAATATTTATCACCCGGGCTGACCCTGCCTGTTGTAGCGCTCCTGGGTAGAGAGAAGACCACATTCCTTCAGTGTAAGTCCTAGTGTCAACTCCCATGCCCACATCCCAGGAGAGCAGGCCCATCCAGCACTTTCAGGAGCGGGCTCCCCAGCCCCACGCCACCCCCACCCCAAGCACCAGGCTAGCCACCGGGGAACTTAATGGGAACAGAGACTTCACTTTCATCAGCTGCTTTTCCTAACATGCTCTTTTATTTTAGTATTTAGTGCTTTTCTTCTATTTGCTAGCTAGAACTAATTTAATTGATCCTTATTTATGTTTGATGACACTGACCACTAAGAGGAGAAAAGGAGAGGATGGCCCTAGCCAGTTTGGCTCCGTGGTTAGATCATTAACCTGTGGACCAGAAGGATTGCAAGTTCGATTCCAGGTCAAGGGCACATGCCTGTTGTGGGTTCCCCAGCCCCAATAGGGAGTCCCGCAGGTGGGAAGCAACCAATCAATGTCTCTCTCTCTTTCTCTCTCTTTCTCTCTCTCTCTCTCCACCTCTTCCCTCCCTTCCACTCTCTCTAGAAATCAATGAATAAAATATTCTTGGGTGAGGATTAAAGAAGAAAGGAGAGGTTAGACACACTGTCAGAGTTGTCTATCACGTATTCATACACTCATTCATTCCATAAATATTCATTAGGCCCCTGGTTTGTGACAAACACCAAAATGGGTGCTAAGGATATAAGAGCACTAGGTTTGGGGGGAAAGAAATATGCAGATACCTGGAAAAGTAGTTTTTTTAAATAAAAAAAAATAACACTCTCTCAAAGGAACAAAAATAAAATTATAATAAATAAAACAAGTTAAATCTTAAAAAAAAAAAAAAAAAAAAAAAAAAGAGTATTAGCCCTAACTGGTTTGGCTCAGTGGATAGAGCATTGGCCTGTGGACTCAAGAGTCCCAGGTCCAATTCTGGTCAAGGGCATGTACCATGGTTTCAGGCAGATCCCAGTGGAGGGTGTGCAGGAGGCAGCTAATTGATGTTTCTCTCTCATCAATATTTCTAACTCTCCATCTCCCTCTCTGTATAAAAATCAATAAAATATATTTTAATAAATAAATATTAACTACACACACAAAAAAGTCTGGATTATATAAATTATGAAAAACAGTAATTGTCACATGAGTTTACAGTATTGTTTTTTATTTTTTTAATATATTTTATTGTTTTTTCACAGAGAGGAAGAGAGAGGGATAGAGAGCTAGAAACATCTATGAGAGAGAAACATCGACCAGCTGCCTTCTGCACACCCCCCACCGGGGATGTGCCCGCAACCAATGTACATGCCCCTGACCAGAATTGAACCTGGGACCTTTCAGTCCGCATACTGACGCTCTATCCACTAAGCCAAACCGGTTTCGGCACAGTATTGTTTTTTAAATGCTCAAACTATTTTGAGCCCTACATTGAAATGAAGAATCACAAATAACAATTTGAACAGATTCTATTTAGCCAAAATTTGCTAGAGAGAAAATTATTCTTAAAGAGGACAATAGACCCCAAACTTGCAGACATCCTAGATAATAAAAGGCTAATATGCAAATCACTATGATGCACACTGATCACCAGGGAGCAGATGCTCAATGCAGGAGCTGCCCCCTGGTGATCAGTGTGCTCCCACAGCAGGAGCACTGCTCAGCCAGAAGCCCTGAGCCAGGCTCACAGCTGGTGAGTGCAGTGGCAGCCCTAAGGATGTCTGACTTAGGCATCCACTCAGACATCCCCCAGGGCTCCCAGACTGCAAGAGGGCGCAGGCCGGGCTGAGGGACCCCATTAAGTGCATGAATTTTGTGCACTAGGCCTATAGTAGTGACATAAAAACCAAAGGGGCTCACAGCCTAGTTGGAGACTGATCCCCATGAAGCAATGTTAGTTTGAGAACAGAGATGTACACAAGGGGTATAGGGGACCCCTGATAATTGGGGGTAGCTGGAGAGTTGGAGGTGTCAGGGCAGGATCCATAGCACAGACTATATATGCTGAGTCTTGGCAGATGAACTAAAGTTAGCCAGCCTAAGGGAGTGGGAAAAGATATCCCAGATAGAGGAAAACACAGACAGAGGGGGGAAAATAGAGTGTGTTCCAAGATCTACAGATGGTCTGGCTGGAGATTGGGAGTGGGGAGATGAGATTAAGAAAGGGCAAAAAGGAAGGTTCTCAGTTTTTTAAGTAAAAAGAAGAAACTTAGAGTTTATCCTATAAAGGACAGAGTGCCTTCAAAAGGTTTTAAGCAAGAACGTGATATGGCTAAAAGTGATTTCTAGAGGTGGCAGAAGGGAGAATAGATTATACTAAAAGGGGAGAGACAAACAATTTAAGAAACCATTACTTAGGGACACAATTTAGGTTACCACCTGAATCTCTATATTCCAGGCTGGAGCAACTTTTGCTCAAATAAGTGCTTTTTTATAAAAAAAGAAAAAAACACTAATACTGAAGAAGGTGCAACCACCTTGTTACAATTTGGGGGAAAAGTGGGAAAATATTCATACTCAAAAGTGCATAGAGTTTTGCCTTGCTCTTTGTTCAATTTCCAACTGGGCTAATGCAATCGGCCACTAAAGGGTATGGGAGAGCCTGACAGTAGCTGCCTCCACGGAGGGAAATGGAAAGTTGATTTTCAAGGAGAGGAGGAGATTTTTTAACTTATTTTTTCCTTTCACTTATGCCATAGAAGCACATACTGATTTTAGAGAAAGGGAGAGAGAGAAAAACATCAATTTGTTCTATTTATTTATGCATACATTGATTGCTTCTTTTTAAAAAATAGGTTTTTATTGATTTTAGAGAGAATGGAATGGAGAAAGAGATAGATAGAAAGATAGATAGATAGACAGATAGATAGATAGATAGATAGATAGATAGATAGATAGATAGATAATAGATAGATTGATAGACATCAATCAGCCGCCTCCTGCTCTACAGCCCCTCCTGGGGATTGAGCCACAACCCAGGCATGTGCCCCAACTGGGAATCAAACCAGTAGCCTTTTGGTGCATGGGACAATGCTCAAGCAACTGAGCTACACCAGCCAGGAGGGCTCAGTGGTTGCTTCTTGTATGTGTCCTGATGGGAGATTGAACTCACAACCTTGATATAATAGGATGACACTAACCAACTGAACTATCTGGTCAGGGCCAAGGAAACTTTATATATATATATATATATATATATATATATATATATATATATATATATCCCCTTTTATACACTTTCAATTTTGTATTTTAGATATATATATTACCTGACTAAAACAACACAGGGAAAGACTTGTATCGATGCATGTAAACATAACCAATGGATACAAGACATGGCGGGGGGGGGGGGGGGGGTAAAGGCATATTCGGGGCGGGGGGGGGGGGACGGGGGAGGGGAGGCTGGGGAAAGGTCAAGGGGGGAAAAAGGAGACATATGTACTACTATTTGTGATCCTTCAAACAAAAATAAATAAATAAATAAATAAATAAATAAATAAATAAATAAATAAGTAAAGTAAAACAAATAAATAAAATTTTTTTAAAAAAACAGGAAGATATGTTATGGAGAATTTGCCTGCCACCCATTTCCCCCACCTCCCGAGGAGAACCTCAGACCTCCTTAATAAGAAACTATTACAAATTCAGAAAGTCAACAGACCTGGGCCCAAGGCAATGAATTTTTGGCTGTCATCTCTAGCGGCCCCTGAAGCTTCTTGGTGTTTATATTCCCTGTGACCTAATGCCACCTTCAGGAAGCTTTGGTTGAGATGACTGACTCTTCTGGTCTGATTGGAATTCATAGTTGAGGGAGGGAGAAGTGGGATCTTATATCCTCTTGGTTGTATTTTGGACTGTCTGGTTCCTTTACCAGAATCCTAATCCTAACTTGTGTCAGATGGTTACCCTGATATGTGCCAAAGGAAAGGAAGTTGCCAGGAAAATGCCAGGGGCATGGAGAAGCAGGGATGACACAGAGGGTGGGCACATTTCCTTACCTTGCAATAGATTTGTGAGCAGAAAGGGCCCAACATAATTGGTGGCAAAGGTGAGGTCAAGGCCCTCTGGGGTTAGTGTCGTAGGGATTCCTGGAAGGAAATGAAAACACATGAAGTGGATGATAGAGCGAATATACTGAGGGAGACAGAGTCTAGGGTGATATGTTGGGGTTCGATAGAAATGCCATAGGAGCACATAGATGCAAAGATGAGGCAGTTAAACGTGAGGCTATAACGTGAGGCAGGCTCTTCAGGGCTGTGTATGAACTAAGAGTGTTTCAGCAGGGTGCACAGGGTAGGCTTTGTGGTCCCTGATCTAGAAAGGAGTCTCCTAAAATGTGCTTGGGGGAAGCATGCCCAGGCACATACCACAGACTGCAGCATTGTTCACCAGCAGGTGTATCTCAGGACACTCTCGTAGAAGCTGCCGGGCAAAGCTCCGGATGGAGGCCATAGAGCTCATGTCTACATCCCAAAGCAGAAGGCAGGCGTCCTTACAGGCTGCTTGGATCTCAGCCAAGGCTCGCTGTCCATGCTTTCGGTTACGGCAGGCAAGGATCACCCGGGCCCCACGGCAGGCCAGCTCCTGGGACACAACCTTTCCAATACCTGTGGGAGGACAGCTTCAGAGTAGTTCTAGTCTGGGAAGTGACTAGAGGGTAAAGGAGCAAGGGGGAGGGACAGAGGTGTTGACAGTGGGTGCTGTTTCTCGCCCCTGCCCTCCCTATGAAGACTGTTGGGGCTGAGACCCCTAGTGAGGTGATAGGGTAGAAGGAGCACTCACCACTGTTGGCCCCAGTCACCACTGCCGTCTTCCCAGTTAGATCTGTGGAGCAGTGCTGGAGGTCCCAAAGCTGAGTCTTATGCCAGAGCCGCACACTTAGTCTAAACAGGTAGACCAGAAGGAGGAGGGCAGAGCCACGGCCCAAGATCAGGGTGCTGAGTAGAGACCACAGTGACATAACAGATGACTGGGCTATTACCCAAAGTGGGAAGAAAATTTGAGAGAGTTAGTCAATGCTGAGTGGACAGCAATAAGGCTAGCGTGGAGCCCAAGATGCAAAATTTAAGGAGGCACTCTCACATTTGTTCAAGCAACCCATCTGAACCTAAAAAAGAGTTCCCCCTTATAAATTGTGTGACCTAAGCACTTGATTGCCTCACCTCCAATAAAAAATTAACAGAAGGGCTTTCCCTGAGCCTTAAACCCCTGCCAAGGCTCAAATCTGTCTCTGAGCCAAACTTGGATTTGCATCTAAAGTGAACTGACAAACCAAACAAACTGCAGTTCCGGTCAGACAGCTCCAAAACCTCCAAACCACAAACAAAGAGGAAAAAACTGTTGTTCTCACTGTAGCTCCTGCTGGGTGGCCTCAGACAATAGCTGACCTGCACCCCATTGGAGATCCAGAAGCTAGTGTATCTAGTGGTCTGTATGAGACGACACCAGATTTCAACTATTCTCATAAGGGACACATTCAAGAGGCAGACTCAGTGAGCACCAAAGCCCCACTGAAACAACTCCTGCCCCATAAGCATGTCTCCAGCACAGCAATTTTTCCATTATAGACACAGCAGGTCCTCACAACCAATTGGCCTGGAGGTCAATTCCTCCCAGTGACACTAACAACAATCAACTTAACTACAACAAGGCTGTATAAACAGTCCACAAAGGAGTGCACCAAGAGAGTCCACCTCAGGTAACTGGGAGGCCGACCAACTGGACCATACAAGACACCTAGCACACAAAGCCACCCTACCAACTCAGGGAAGCAGTGAAAATGAGGAGACAAGGAAACAGATCACAAACTAAAGAAATGAAGGAGAAAAACCGACTGGACACAGAGTTCAAAACTACAGTTATAAGGTTTTTCAAGAATTTCCTAGAAAAGGCTGAAACTGGTTTGGCTCAGTGGTAGAGCATCGGTCTGCGGACTGACAGGTCCCAGGTTCGATTCCAGTCAAGGACATGTACATTGGTTGCGGGCACATCCCCGGTAGGGGGTGTGCAAGAGGCAGCTGGTCAATGTTTCTCTCTCATCGATGTTTCTAGTTCTTATCTCTCTCCTTTCCTCCTCTCTGTACAAAATCAATAAAATATATTTTTAAAAATAAAATAAAATAATAAAAAGAAAATCTTTAAAAATAAAAAATAAAAAAAGAATTTCCTAGAAAAGGCCAATATGAAAAAGGACCAACTAGAAATTAAACATACACTGGTTAAAATAAAAAATATCATACAGAGACCCAACATCAGACTAGAGGAACGCAAGAATCAAGTCAAAGATTTGAAATACAAAGAAGCAAAATACACTCAACTGGAAAAGAAAAAAGAAAAAAGAATCCAAAAAGTTGAGGATAGTGTAAAAAGCCTCTGGGACAACTTCAAGAGTACCAACATCAGAATAATGGGGGTGCCAGAAGAAAAGATACTGAAAACCTATTTGAAGAAATAATGACTGAAAACTCCCCACCCCCCGTGAAAGAAATAGACTTATAAGCACACAGAACCCCAAACAAAAGGAATCCAAAGAGGACCACACCAAAATACATCTTAATAAAAATCATATAGTCATATCAATTGATGCAAATTGATGCAGAAAAAGCATTTGATAAAATCCAACACCCTTTCCTGATAAAACTCTCAACAAGGTGGGAGTACAAGGATCATACCTCAACATAATAAAAGCTATATATGATAAACCCACAGCTAACATCATACTCAATGGGCAAAAACTAAAACCATTCCTTCTAAGAACAGGAACAAGACAGGGATGCCCACTCTCACCACTCCTGTTTGACATAGTACTGGTAGTACTAGCCATTGCAATTAGACAAGAGGAGGAAATAAAAGGCATCCAAATTGGAAAAGAAGAAGTAAAGTTATCCTTATTTGCAGATGACATGATATTGTACATAAAAAAAAAACCCAAAAGACTCCATTAAAAAACTAATTGACTTAATAAATGAATTTGGCAATGTAGCAGGATACAAAATTAACGCCAAGAAATCTATGACATTTCTATACACCAACAGTGAACTTACAGAAACAGAGACTAAAAAAGTAATTCCATTTTCCATCACACCAAAAAAATTAAGATACCTAGGAATAAACTTAACTAAGGAAGTAAAGGCCCTTTATGCGGAAAACTACACGATACTGAAAAAAAGAGATAGAGGAAGATGTAAATAGATGGAAGAACATACCATGTTCATGGATTGGAAGAATCAATATCTTCAAAATGTCCATACTTCCTAAAGCAATCTACAGGTTCAAGACACTCCCCATTAAAATACCAATGGCCAGCTGGGCCCAGAGCAGCTGGGTCGGGTGTGGCCAGGCCCGGAGCAGCAGCAGCCAAGTCCAGAGCAACTAGGTCGGGAGCGGCAGTGACCAGACCTGGAGCAGCTGGTTGTGGAACAAACCAGAGCAACAGAGGCCAGGCCCGAAGCAACCAGGCCCGGAACAGCTCGCTCCTCGCCTGCCCCTACCCCACGGCTGCCTCTCAGACATGGCTGGAAACTTTCGCGGGAACTTGAGGGTCTGCTGAATCAAGTGATGAAGGTTTAGATATGGATATGTTGAGTTAGTATAGAGCTGGGGTGTTGATCTGTGAGTGCCTTGGGTGGGGCCTGGATGAGGCTAGTTGACCTATTTGGAAATGTCTTTTGTGGGAAGTGTATCATTGGACATGTGGAAGTATTATTGATATGAGAAAATGCTAAGAAATTGATTTACTATCTGAAAAGGGATTTACTATCGGGGAAAGGGAGGGAGGAAGAGACTGAACATAAACTGTGCACCTATGGATGAGGACAGTGAGATATGGGGAGGGAGCGGAGGGTGGGGTGGGAACCTGGTGGAGGGGGAAAGAAATGAGAAACGTTTGTAATAATATGAACAATAAAGATTGATTTTAAAAAAATAATAAAAATTAAAAAAAATAAAAAGTGAAACAAAAAAAAATACCAATGGCATATTTCACTGATCTAGAAAGAACTCTCCAAAAGTTTATTTGGAACAATAAAAGACCCCGAATAGCCACAGCAATCCTGAGAAAGAAGAGTAAAGTAGGAGGGATCTCAATACCAGATTTCAAGCTATATCACAAAGCCACTGTTCTCAAAACAGCCTGGTACTGGCACAAGAACAGACATATAGATCAATGAAATAGAATTGAGAACCCAGATACCAACCCAAATCACTATGCTCAATAAATATTTGACAAAGGAGGCACGAACATACAATGGAGTCAAGACAGTCTCTTCAATAAATGGTGTTGGGAAAATTGGACAGATACATGCAAAAGAATGAAACTAGATCACCAACTTACACCATACACAAAAATAAACTCAAAATGGATACAGGACTTAAATAGAAGACGGGAAACCATAAAAATAGTAGAGGCATCCACAGGCAGCAAAATCTCAAACATATGCCAAAAGAACTTCTTTAGTGATACTGCCCCCAGGGCAATGGAAGCTAAAGAGAAAATAAACAAATGGGACTACATCAAAATAAAAAGCTTTTTTACAGCAAAAGAAACCCTCAACAAAACAACAAGAAATCCCACTGTATGAGAGAACACATTTGCAAATGTTATCACTGATAAATATTTAATCTCCAACATCTACAGACAGCTTATACAATTAAATAAAAGGAAGATGAATGATCCAATTAAAAAATGGGCAATGGACCTAAGTAGAGTATTTTCAAAAGAAGACAGAAGGAAGGCCAAAAGGCACATGAAAACATGCTCAAAGTCACTAATTGTCCGAGAGATACAAATCAAAACAACAATGCGGTACCATCTCACATCTGTCAGAATGGCCAACATCAACAAATCAACAAATGACAAGTCTTGGCGAGGTTGTGGAGAAAAAGGAACCCTCGTGCACTGCTGGTGGGAATGCAGACTGATGCAACCACTGTGGAGAACAGTATGGAGTTTCCTCAAAAAACTGAAAATGGAACTCCCATTTGACCCAGTAATCTCACTCCTAGGATTATATCCCAAGAAACTAGAAACACCAATCAGAAAGGATATATGCACCCCTATGTTCATAGCAGCACAATCTACAATAGCTAGGATTTGGAAACAGCTTAGGTGCCCATCAGCAGATGATTGGATCAAAAAACTATGGTACATCGATTTTTCCCCAGTTGGGTGTGTGCAGGAGGCAGCTGGTTGATGTTTCTCTCTCATCGATGTTTCTAGCTCTCTATCCCTCACCCTTCCTCTCTGTAAAAAGTCAATAAGATGTTTTTTGTTTTTTTTTTAAAAAAAACAAAAAACTATGGTACATCTACACAATGGAATATTATGCTGCCATAAAAAAGAAGGAATTCTCATCATTTGCAGCAACCTGGATGGAATTAGAGACCATCATGCTGAGTGAAATAAGCCAGTCAATGAAAGAAGAACACCACATGACCTCACTCATTTATGGATAATAAAGAACATTATAAACTGATGAACCAAAAGATAGATATAGAGACAGTAGACAGTAAAGCAACAAGCAAACTGTCAAATTACAGCGAGGAGGGGAGGGAGATCTGGGGAAGATAATAGATCAACCGAAGGACTTGTATACATGCATATAAGTACAACCAATGGACACAAAATCTGGGAGGGAGGGTATGTATGGGGGGGGGGGGCAAAGGTAAGATATGTACACAGACAATAATTTAATTTTAAAAAAAATAAGGGGGAAAAAAGTTACATCTTAATTAAAATGCCAAGAGCAAAAGACAAAGAAAGAATATTAAAAGCAGCAAGAGAAAAACAATTAGTTACCTACAAGGGAGCACCCATATAACAGTCAGCTGATTTCTCAACAGAAACTATGCAGGCCAGATGGGAGTGGCAAGAAATATGCAAAGTGATGAATAGCAAGAACCTACAACCAAGATTACTCTACCCAGCAAAGTTATCATTCAGAATTGAAAGTCAGATAAAGA